ATGAAAATAATAAATTATGTAAGGAGATGTACGAAAATGATACGTATCCAAAGTCCACCAAAGAAATACTCTTTTTTTTTAAAAAAAATTGATCGAGATGAGCCATAAAAATATACATTCTTACATATTGTATATAATCAAATTAAACTATTAAAAGAATAAAATAAATAGAGGTCTATCGTGATATTGCAAAATATTTATGAAGAATTTCAAGGCCTTTTAAGTTTATAGTTGGACCATATTAGGCCGATCTAACCATTTACCCGATAAATGAGAGAGATAAGATAAACAAAAAAAATTAATGAACATGTTATTACAAAACATATTGTTGTTGTTATGCGGAATTCGAGAATAACAAATATGAATACGAAAAACACGACAACAGATTTAACGTGGTTCACCAACATTGTGTTGACTACATCCACAGGAAGAGGGAGAGAAATTTTTTTTACAGAAGGCAAGAACAAAATACAGAATAGGGTTTGTGGTAGCACTTATATATATAGTGCTAGACTAAACCCTAACAGGCTTGGGCCCAAACTACAGAATTGACAGATAATTAATAGCCCAATACATCAACATTGTATACCGTCGGGTCAGATTCAAGGCATTACAATAGTTTTCATTAAGGTTTATGTAATCAAGCTTAATCATTCGAGTTGATGATGTAAAGTTGATTCCAAAAAAAGATACTCCTAATATTAATATAAAATCACATTAATATATAAAGATTAATTTACCTAAATAAGACTAAAACATAATGAATTTTTCAATATATGACCATATGTTTTATTTCCCAATCTAGGACCATTGGTCATTATCTATTAGTCATTATTCAACTAAATGTCCAGCATCACTTGGGCATTATTCTTCTCCCTAGTCATTATTAAGTCTTATTTAGAGAATAAAAAAGTTTAATTCCTACATTGATAAATGACTTATATTTTAGTCCTATTCAGTGCAAATTTCACATATATAAATTTGTGATTAGCCAAAGATCTTGTGGTCCAGCGACAAGCATGAAAATGGATGGAAAGGGGTAAAGAGCCACAATGAATTGATGCACAAGATTAGAGACAATCCCTCCATTTGTCTCATAAAATAAGGAAGCATCTTTTGGCTTTTGCATTATTATTGGTATAAAAGTGGGATAGACTTTCTTTCCATTTTAGCATAGCTGTAAAATTTTGACATGTTTGTACCTTTTTTTTTTTACTTTAAATGGTTAATGTCAATGAAAACAAATATTTATGATGCTATTTCCTAATTCCTATACTCCCTATAGAAGAAAGCAAAGAATACTTTGAAAAAGAAGTTAGAAAAGGAGTGCTTTTGTTTAACTTTGAAAGTAATTTTAACCATTTCCTCTCAACCACCCCAAAACAAACACAAGAGGGAAAGAAAGAGTCCACTATTCATGGATTAACGTAACCAAGAAAACAAACTAATACGGAGTATTCTCTTCGTTTAAAAAAAAAAATCTCCCAATTAGGTTTGACACAAAATTTAAGAAAAGTAAATGATGTGATTGAAAATACTCCAGAACAGAAAGAAAGAGAATATGCCACAGAAAGTTGATCAAGAATGGAAAGATGAATATTTTTTTGGGACATCCCGAAAAGAAATAGAATTTTTTTTACACAGGGAGTATAACTTATGGCTATGGAGTCACAAGGTAGTTGCTTGACTTGCTTCATCCGAATTTAATTATCTTTTTTTAATTAAAAACTTCATTTCGAAATGATAAATTTAGGGGGCGTATTTAATTAGGATTTTATTAGATTTTTTTGGATTTCAAAAAGTTAGTGGATTTGAAAAATCTGTAGAAACCATGTAGAGTTTGGTTGATTTTTTTGTAGAATCCGTGTAGAATTTGAAAAATTCGTGGAATTTATGTAGAGTTTAAAAAATATGTAGAATCCAAACATTTCTTCTGTTCGAAAGTCCAACAGGGAAGTCCAGCGGTGATGCCGATCACCGTACAACCACAATAGGAAACAAACAACACCGGTAGATGATGGGGCGACGCACGTGGGCGGGCGGACGAAAAACTCGCGAAGGGACGGAGGGACGGACAGACACTGGAGGACGGACGGACATACGTTGGAGGACAGATGGATGGACGGACGCTGGATGACGAATGGATGGAAGTCCATAGAAATCTAGGGTTGTGAGAAGAGATTTCCATGAGTGAAAATGTAAGCATTTTTGAGAGAAATCCAACAAAATCCATAGGCTATTAAAATTCAGACTCTTGAATACCTCAAAATTTTTAAAAATTTTTAAAAATCCAAGATGAATACTTCAATATTTTTAAAGACTTTGGAAAATCCCTATTGAATACTTCAAGATTTTTAAAGATTTTTGAAAATCCAGATTGAATACACTCAGATTTTAAAAATCCTACAGACTCCCGGTTCAATACACCCCTCTTAAAATGCTAAATAACTCATTCAATTGAGTTTTTTTTCTTTTATCTTAATTTTAATTATAATCTTTGAATTACTAACTTTGAGATTTTAAATTTCAATTGTCAACTTAAAATGTACTCAAATGACAATGGAAGGCGCATGGATTTAAAATTAAGCTTTGTTATGAATGAGAAGAATTTAATTCAAATCCAAATTTTAAAATTTGTAAGTTTCCCAAACATGGAATTTGAGCCAAATCCGAATTTGAAATCCAAATCCATGTTCCCAAACATATCATAAATAAAATTAAGATGAATAGAAATTGGTCTAAAAAGTTAGAATTGTGCCTTCTTTCTACACAAAAAATATGTGTCACCGTGTCACGTTGTGGAAGTGGGGGACAGGGTCGGGCCATTTATGCAATCTACTTGCTTGATTCCACATTTAAATACAAGTTGTTACATTATTGTCTACACTTATATGTACAAGTCAATTCAACCACTCCTCTACATTTGTTTTCTCCATGGAGATTGTTTCATTATACCACGGAGTACGTATTAGTTAACGTGTTAATCTTTAATTATAATTAGTTTTATATATTTTCATTAATACTACCACCTCCGTCCCAGAATATTTGTCCATTTTCATTTTTACACATCATCCAATACACTTCTTTAATCCATTTTATCTTGTAATTTGTATATTAAAAAATTATAGAAATTATATATTAATAATCTATATGTTAAGACAAATCAAACAAGATCACACATGTATATATTTAGGCTTACACATTGAGAGAATTTGATTAGTCAAAGTGATTAGATGAACAGTTCCAAAAGTCAAAACTGGACGAATACTCCGGGACGGAAGGAGTAATTTATTAAAATAACTAATGGAAGCCTGGGTCTTACATATTTAGACATAGAGCTATATGCATATATAGTCATTGCGATGTTTCATAAGTGTGGAAATAATGTTCGAACTCTTAAAAGCTGTCACATAATTCTTGTGGTCAAATAGCTATAGCAAAATTAGTCCCTATATTAGAAAATTCGTACAATGTATAAAACATGCGCGTATTATGTAAAGACGTCAATCATGTAACAGTAAAAAAACTAATCTGGAATTTCAATTGTGATGTGTAACTTTGAACCTAGTATAATACCTTCCATCTTTTAGTCTAACTCTTACAACGAATTTTTCGTCTCTTCTATAGTGATATTCTTGAATCGTAGTACAGTGTCCTATGTGAGCTCGATATCATTCTATTTTTCAAGCATTTTTATTCTAAGGTAAAACGTGAGAGAAAAGAGCTAAAAAGTACTATTCATTGCATTTAACCACGAAGATGGAGGCAATTTCATGAGAAATTTAAAACTTCTTTTTTTTTGTTACATGCCTCACATTTTCACACACTACGCCTATGTTCTGTGTGCTTTACGTTTTTCTTAAAGAAGGGACTAATTATGCATTAGTTCTTGACCACAGGAACTATTTTGTAACTTTTAAAAATACAGGGACTATTTACCTACTTATGAAAGACCATATGGACTATTTGTGCATTTAACTCTTAGACATAAGTACATTGGGTCATGCCATCCAAATAAAGTACTTGTATCAAGGAAAAAATCAAGGGTAATGTGGGCGTGATTGAGGAAAACCTTTTCCGTTTTTCCCGCTCGTCCCTTTAATTTGACCTCTCTTACAACCTATTTCCTTCACGAGTGCCTTTTTGGTAAACTTAAGATCCACGTCATTTTAGATGGACTTTTATATGAGTATGGTAAGCGAATGCTTACTACCTTGATAAACATTTTTTTTACAAAATATGTTTATCAAGATAGTGAGTATCTGCTTACCACACTCATGAAGGTCTACCTAAAATAGTGTGAACCTTAGATCTACAATCTCCCATTGAGCTACCCATTGGGGTGCATGTGTTTGGGTTCAAAGAGCAATGGGCTTTAGGAAAAGTTGGAATAATGGGAAGAACTAACATGATGATGTACATGTTTGAGTGATTTATTCGGACCACTATATGTTATGCAATTGCAAGAAAGAAAGAAAAAAAGTTGTGCCCATCATATGCCCATAATATTCCAAAAGGAATAGATATTGTGCAATCCAGTGTCCCTCTCAAGGCAGACACACACTCTTTGGGTCATATGTCCTCCCATCACTGCACCCTCTACTTGCATGTTCACAAGGACTAGTCTAATTTAATTTGATTCTATTTAAAATTTAAAATCGCTTCTAATTTGATCTGGTTTACACTGGTCTGATATAATTCTAAAAAGAATAAATACACAAGTAATGAGTAATAAAAATAAATTGAATAAAAAAGAGCTTAAATTTAACCGGTCGATACACGTTTCTTTGAGTCACTCTAATAAGAGCATTCTGGCGAATATATGTTATTACATGATACTCAGTAGAAATTATATCTCATTTTTAAGCAAAGAATGTTTGGATAACACCAAGATGTTGACACCAAAGATAACATCGCCAGTGAATTTGTACACACGGTGTAAAAAAAACTCAAAACAATTAAATATGGTAAGTTATAATACTACCAAATAATCTCAGATAAAACAAAATCACAGTTGATTTGTCTTACAAAACTTCTTAATATTAAGGTTGTGAACATTTTTCATTCTTCGACATATCCTACAGTTCTTGATGCAAAGGTCATTCATTAGTCAAAATACAAGAGCACATTGTCAAGCTAGAGAGAGACATGATGAAGTAAAAAGATGAAAGGGAAACACGAAGAACACAGAGAGTTCCAGCCTCTAAGAACTTCGTCATCAGTTAATGTCAAGTGGCAACGGAGGGAAACTTGAGCCGTCCGGTTCCAAAAGGGGAACAAACTCAGATCCTCTGACATGGACGCTGTAACAAGCTGCAGAAATTCACACACATCATCAGATAGAACAAGATGTCAACTCGCTCACCAAACGAAATAATATATCTATTGGCTGCCTGCATTGTGGGTCTGCCGGTCTGGGGAGGACGTGTGTATGCAAACCCTATTACCCTTACTTAAAAAGTAAAGAGGCATTTATGGCTGCCCACATAGATCAGTAATTTTTTTTTGCAGGAGAAAGGGTAATCATTAGAATCCGAAACACATTATTATTATTATTATTCGTAATAAATTTGGAAGATAAAATAATTAAAAAAAAGAAGAATCTATGAAGTACCATTTTCTATCTTCATTACACTCTGAAGCATTGTGTCCATTTTGGTTTTCATGTCAAAGTGGTCTTCCATTAGTGGGGCAACAAGTGTCAGCTCCCGATGGATTTCGCAAACAAAGCTACAAATCTTATGAGCGAATTCAAGTTCCCCATCTGAGACCCGCCCGATTGCCAGCCTCATCAGCTCTCCTGTCAAGTCCGCGAGCTAATACACAAAAACATTCTGATAAGATTAATAATAATAATATGCTAAAATTTGTAATTTGACTAATTTCCTATTCCAGAGAACTGCCATCACTTTGAAATTAGACGAGAATAAAATGCATGAAATTGCCAGTATGAACAATTGTGGCAGAAGTGCCTTGTCAAACAGATATATGTATTTATAGATATTTCATTTATGTTGAAATAGCAGCATCTACACTTATGGAAATAAGACCAAAACCCAAGGGCTAAGTTGGCTAACTCTCAACGGCGGTGAGGATGAGCATGCTGCTAGTGGTGGACACACTCGTGATCCTAACAGTGTCGAATATGGGGAGAGAAAATGGTCACCTTGGTAGAGGGTGAAACGGTAAGGCTTTTGATAATAGTGGTGTGGAATGCATGGGAACAATGTATAAATAGAAGCAAGTTTACATTTGTCGTGAACATGAAACCAATCGCTCCATATAGGAACTTGATCTATACGGGAAAAAAGGCAAGAGGAACGACACGTGGTTTTGAAATGCAAGAAAGAAAATAAAATGCAAAGGTCCTAGAGCAGCTACTAAAGTACATTTACTATATAATTCAACAGCAGCAATAATAATAAGCCGCCAACATATGTAATTCTCTAATTATGAGAAATGACATATTTTGAGATGAAACAAGAATATACGCAACACTGTAAAATCCCACAAATTGGATCTGGAAGGATGAGAGTGTGCAGACCTTACCTCTACCCGAAAAAGTAGAGAGTTGTTTCCAAAAGACCCCAACATAAAGAACATAACGGAAAACACACATTAGTAGAGTCCTATCAAAATGTACAGTTAGGTCATCAGTGATCTCAGGAACTCCCAAGTCCTGTCTTTATCACCTCACTTCAGCTTTTATTTGGTCTACATCTACCACTCAGATCTCCTACCATCAACCTCGCACCTCGCCACATGGCATCAATACTACTCCTTTCCACATGCCTAATCCACATCAATCTCACTTCACACATCCTGTCCTCCACAAACGCGACTCCCACCTTTTCCTCAAAAATTCCATTCCAAGCCATATCTCTCGAGAATAAAATGCATGGAATGAAAATATTATACACTTAGGGTATGTTGGGATCACAAAAAAGTGCTAGGGAAAAATAAAATTTGTTAAAGAAAGTTGTTATTATGTTTGGTTTTACTTTGAAAAAATGCTAAGGAAACTGAAAGAAGAATGCTTTTTTAAAGAAAAATATCAAATTACCCCTAAAATATAGTCTAGTATATTAATCTGTAGAGGCTCAGTGGAAGGAGCGCTCAATGGAATCAGGTTAGCATTTAGCTCATCAAGGCCTATAAGGGTCCCAGTCTTGCAGAAGTGACAAAGTGTGGCAGCTTCAACATATTCTTGAACCTGGAAGTTGGAAACAAAACCTTATAGGTTAATAAAGGTAACTCGAAAAAATTAGGAGCAAAAAAGCTTATAAAAGTGTCAGAAGATGCTTAGAATAACTCACACCGGGAGAATATGCTCGTCTTAGCTTCCAGAAATCAGTCCCCTGCAGCTCCTTTACCAGGCGGGACAAATATTGTGCTGTCACAGCATTCAGATCTTTGTCTGCCTTCTCCAAAACTTCATCTTTGTTGTTCAGACTCATCCTGCAAATAAGAGTAGAGCAGTGTGAAGTTTACAATCACTCAACTACTGACATGAAGTTTATAGTGTCAACCTATCGGCAAAATTTAGTTGCACTATGAATTCATGCCAAAAGGATAAATGACAAAGGTATGTTCCTGTCACTGATTTCTTAAAAAGGAATTCCAAAAGGTAGATTTCAAGAGAAAAACAACGTATCTGATCTTGAAAACCTATATCCAGGATAAACTCATAGAATTTGACAGTATAAAAACTTTGTGTTACCTGTGAACCTGAAATATGACCTTTTTGCTGTTCATAGTAATATCTCGACTTGCTTTTACCACTCTTTCTCGTTTATCATTCTGTAAGACGCAGTGATTGATGGATTAAACAACGGGAATAAATATGAAACATGTCTGACTGGAATATTATATTCATGTATGGTATTTGTTTCGATTATTTGAAGCCAAAAACTCCAGTTGCTCCCGCAACAATTTAGCACAAGAAGAACATCCCCTTTACAATTGATAAGCTCAAACGGGTGTGTAGATGTCACGATATATAAGGGTCCTAGAATGCAACACGATGAAAATTCGTCACAGCCATTTAAGACTGTAAACCTGAAGAAGTTCAAGCAAATACAGGAAAGCAAATTTCAAAAATGGAACCAACTAGAGTCCATTTGAACATGTTAATGCAGTAAAACATATCAGAGTATTCATCAGTTAAATAGAGTTATTTGAAATGAAAGGTTTATACCCATTTCTGGTTTAGGCGTATAAAATCACTTCATATAACATCAAACAACAGTAAAGATCTGCAACTTTCAAGAACAAACACAGAACCCACATCCAAACTCAGCTCAATTTCAAATATTTTTTTATAGAAAGAGAGAGGGTCTCACAAGGCCGTTGAGGTAATCGGTGTAATGGGAGAATGCATCTCTCATGTAACTATCGGCGGCGGTGGAGGTGGCCATAGTCCGTGCCTTCTTAAGGGCGCTTTGCCAGGTGGTTTCTGCAACTGTTCGACAAAATGCGTCAGAGAACAAATGAAGGAAGCCGAAAGCGCAGGTATTGGAGCGATAATATGAGGGTTTAAGGTTTCGAGGAAAGTAATTACTGCGATGAACGCGCTGCGGTTTTGAAGTCATGAATCGGATCAAGAAGTTTTTCCAGGTATAAGTGGCCGGGGAAGAAGAGCCCAAAAACATGTGCCGCGTCGGGCCCCAAAGCGAGCGACACACGAACGACGCAGTGAGTAAAGTGACTGCTGCGTTTTCTCTTCTCGCTGAAATTAACCAGTCGTTTGGATTGGAAAATGAGTTGGAAAAAAAGTTACTCACTCGTTCATAAATATTCTTCTCATTTTCCTTTTTATTCATTTGAAAACATTTTTCTTATTTTTTAGGCTATTTCTTAAGGATAAATATGAATAATATCCTCCTAGTTTGCAACTAATCTATTTTTTTTATTGTTTTTTAATAAGAAAAAGAAGCTCTAAAAGTTTATAGTACGTGTATTTCCGAACATTTGGCATTTTTTACTACTCCTTAATAAACGGGCCAAGTCAACACATGAAGTACATTTTCGGACGGAGGGAGTAAACATGATGTAGCGTTATTACTTTCGTACATTATTAGATTTTAACTCGTGCCTATAATTAAATCATGTTTCATACAATTACATTTTGTTAAACTGCAACACATATATTGACATTTCAAAACACTATTTTACATCAATCAAGGTATACTTTACTATAACAAACTATTGTCAAAAACTTCGTTCACGAGAAATGATATACTCCGTAACTATTGAGCTTACTGTTAATGAAGCATTTAATGTTGAACCAAACATAAGTCTCTAACTATCCACTACTTCAAAACACTAATACATATTGGTATAATACCTAGAAATGTAAAGTTTACGAAAAAATATTGGTTATAAAATTTAAGAATAATAAAAGTTATTTTAATCAATGAATAATTAAAATAATAGCTAATTTTTTAAAAAAATCATATAATCTTTTTTGAAAAGTAACAAAATAAAACAAAGGTGGATAAAACTAAAAATATATTTATAATGATTGTTTTAAATTAATAAAATCTATATAATTTTTTTAAATAACATAAATATATACATCATGGGGTGTATATAGTTGACGTGGTGAATTTAATATTTTAGCGGGTGTGACTATCACTATCCATAGTAAATAGCTTGAAATTTGTTTAAAAAAATTAAATTTTCACTCTTATTAAAAAGTTTACATCTAAAAGCTCTCAATCAAAATTACTAAAATTGGATGAGTTAGAATGTCTAAGAGTTACGGAGGAGGTTGAAATTAGTTCATCCAAGTTTATCTGAGTAATATTACAAGATCTTCAAAATGAGAAGTGTAATGAGTCATCTACGACTATGTCAATTTTTTTTGTGTATAATAAATTCAGATGTTTCATTTATTGATAATTTGGCATAGCGACTTTAATACTATTTTATTTATTTATTTTTAATTATACATTTTTTAAAACTAAAATATATGGTAGAATTTATAGGTAAAACTAGTCCGGAAAGAGTGACTACGGAAGTCACTCTCCCAATTGGGACACCTACGGTGTCCTGTTTTCAAAATTTATAATTCGTACAACTTAACCCCGCGGTAAACCTTCACTCGGTCACGACTCCAACTCATCTCTCCAACCACGTCAATTCCAAGGTGCAAGTTTTGTTGACTTTGCAATTTTTGACTCTAAAGTCAACTAAACTTGCATTACGCAATTGATGTGGTTGAGATGAGTTGGGATCGAGACCGAATGCGAATCTATTGGAGATTAGAGAGGAAAACTATATGAACAAAACTAGTTTTTAAACAAGACGATAATGTATAAAGTCGCCAACTCGCCATTTGGAGAAAGGGAGAGAGAGAGACACATATAGTTGACTCTAAGATGGGTGGCTCGGAAGGACAAAGCCACTAATATTGTCATTATTATGGCGTCCTTTTCTGTCCCAGCGATTCATAAACCCACACTATAGGCACCTGCCCCCGAAAAAAAAAGTTTAACAAGAAAACTCATCCTAATTAAATAAGTCTCTATTAATATACTAGAAGCAGAAATACCACACTTTCTGCATTCTCCACCCCTATCTCCAAGTTGCACCAAAGGTACCATTTTTCCTCTTTCTTGAACATACACAAGCGTTGGATTTATTGTGTTTTATTGTGAGGTTTTAGATCTTGGATGGATCTAGTTCGAATTTTGTTTTGGGTATTTTAATCTGTTTATTGATGATATGATTTTGCAGTGATTACTGGGTTTTAATATTCATTGCATTTGAAGTTTATTTATTTTTTAATATTTTATTTTCAGAAAATGTTTAGAAAACCCTTTCCTTGATGGCTTTAAGGGCTGGGAATTTTGTGGGGATCATCAAGAATATGTCAGAATGCATCATGTGGGAAGGCTGTTTTCGTTATTTCTCTTTTTGTTTTTATTAATTTTAAAACAAAAAAAAATCAATAAAGTGTCCTATGGAGTGAGAACTATTATAGTTAAACATCGTATCACTCAAACGATTAGAATTTAGATCTGGAATGCTCATCGATTCGCTTCTTTATATATGCTCTGTATAAAAAAGAGGACAACTTAAGAATCCACATGGTGGTTCAGAAACCTGGGACGAGTGTTTGTGCTTTATAAAATGATGGAATGGGCAAAAAAAGAAGAAGATGAGAAAAAATAATTTCTTTAATTCCACAAGTCAAAGGTTGTGTAAAGTGCAAATGATAATTGAGTGTGGATAAGCTGGGGCAGGATGTGAGAAAAAGAAAGGAATAATTAATCAATAATTCATTGGTGAAAAGTAAAAAAAAATCATGGGTTTAATCAAATCTTATTGTCATTATCTTTTTGCTTGCCTTTTTTTATATTCCAATTTGTGTTAGTTTTTTTTATTTGTGGGTGATTGAATCAGTATTATACAGGACTTTAGTGCTTATGCCTGGGCTACATAGGGTTAAGTGTAATTAAGTGAGGTTAACCAACACTAAGGTTTACCTTCTCAGGCCATCTTGGAAAACATTCTTTGCTCACTAGACTGTCCTTTAATTGTTGATGAGTATCTTCTTTCCTTCATACTTGTGCCATATGATGTTAAAGTTTTTATTTTTCATACTTCGTAATTGTTTTGAGTTGGGGCCTTGGAGGTAGTATTGTCACATATTCCTTTCTATAAAGGATCTTATATGAGTTTTAACAACCTTGATATAACACCGTAAACCTGTTGTACTTTGCTCTTACCTTTGCATACTGCTATTGCCTTCCTCTAATTCTGCCCATTGCCATTTCAAGAATCAAGATATTACTTTTGTTTTTTATCAGGTGGTGGTGCATAACTTACTTTGTTCTGATAGAATGGTTTTGTGCTCAGCCTAAAAAAATTCTGCCAGCTGATGTGAACTCGGAAACATGGTAATTGATAACTATGCAAACTCAGTACATTCTTTGTATCAGAGCACTAGTTAATTGATGCATTTCTCTTACTGTTTGTTTGGGAGTTAGATTTCGAAGGGGCATTGGAAGGAGGGGAGGGTTCTATAATATGTTGTTTATGGCTTATGGTAATTTCAACATTTGATTTTCTGAATTTTGGTAGCCATGCATTGAGAATTCAACTGGTCATGCTGACCACAAGTCTGCGGTTTGTAATCCAACCACAGTCCCCATGCATGATTTCAAGCCATTTGAATGCAACAGCTATGACCTTCACATAGCAGAAGAAAAAGCAAACATAAGGGACAATCATGGAATCTCGTGTCATTTCAATGATGGTCCTGATCTCATTGTTTTTGAAGAAAAATCAGTTCTTGATTCAAGTTGCATTAAAGATAACAATGAATGCTTCAAGATTCCGGATCTTGATTCATCAGCATTCACGATTAGCGCTCTCATCAAACACCCAAAGCCTGAAGATGACATTTCACCACTTAAAGGTGATAAAGATTCGAGCTTGCAGTGTAATCTTCATAGTGCTATCAAAGATATCGGTATTGATATGGGGGTGCCTCTAGTGGACAAGATTTTTACCGAAAATTTGAGCTGTGATAAAAATGACAACTTGGGAGAAGATGTTCAAAAGGAAACACTTTCTGGGGAGACAACAAAAACAGAGGACACTAAAATTGTTGATATCAAACCAGTTGTATCTGAATCAGCTAAGGGCACTTACATAGAGGATGAATTGATGGAGCCTTTAGGCTCAAAATGTCATAGGACTCTAAAAGCAGCTGATGATTGTCAGGTTCTGTTCTATGCTATTTTTTTCTTCTTCTGATACTTTACTACCAAAACCCACTATCTTAAAAAATAGATGTTCTCAACTTGAAAGTTCAATGTGCAGTATTCCGAACCAAACAAGAACGAGCCTAGCGAAGTTCAATGCAGAGGCACTGTGAATATGGCTGAGAATAATGTTGGACCCCAAACAGGACCTGAGTTGCAAGACATGCAGAGTAGTGAGGACAAAACCTCTGCTAATCTTTTAATGGGTGATCAAGATGGATTTGCAGATGGAAACACAAGTTTCTCTTCAGTTGGTCCTATGTCCGGTTTGATTACCTATTCGGGGCTGGTCCCGCATCCTGGGAACATTTCTATTCGTTCAGATAGCAGCACAACCAGCACAAGATCCTTTGCTTTCCCAGTGTAAGCACCCTCCAAATTTCTCTATTTCTGGTCCAATCCAGTCTTTTGGACTTCTTCAATGTGCATGTTTATTTCACAATAATGTTTTTCCAAAACTTGTTTTCTAAACCAATAATAGATCTGGTGAAAACCCACAAAAAGTAAGGTCTTGTGAGGTTGCGTGTATGCAAACCTTACCTCTACTATGTAGTAAAAATGCTGTTTCCAAATCAGGAAGATAAAATGAACAATGCGATTAAACACAAGCTGCTCTTTGGTAAAAAAAAAAAACATGTTTCTGATAAATGGAAAATCATTAAAGGTGCGAAACAAGGTCTGATGTTTGGATGGATTCATGATGTTTTGTGGATTCAGGTTACAATCAGAGTGGAATAGCAGTCCGGTGCGAATGTCAAAAGCAGAAAGGAGGTACAGAAAGCAGAGGGGTTGGAGGCAGGGTCTTCTCTGTTGTAGATTCTAAAATCTTTTTCCATTTCATTCTTTAGGGCTCGTAGATCGATCACATATCATTTACCATACATATAATGAAAGATCACAAAGTTGTGAGCAGACGATGTTGGATTTGGATACATGTCAATAGGATTAGGGAAGAGCGTTGAATTCAAGTTGTAATCAGAAGCCAAACTGTGCCTTAAAATTTATGGAGTGTCTCCCGAATCATGTTGCTGAGCTTTGACATCACTTATGATCTTGTTATGTTTTGCTTTTCTTTGTGGGATTGAGTGGCGTAGATGTACAACTACAATAACATACTGTTTGATACTCCTTCCGTTCGTCATATATCTCTCAAGTTAACTTTTTATGGTTTTTAAGGATAGTTGAAAAAGAGTGAAAAATTATCAAAATATAAAATTTGTGAAGCATATCAAATGAGGTGAGTGCGATGTAATAAAAAAAATAAGTGCAAGTAGTTGTGGTATTTTAAATGTTAAAAAAGTAATGATTTTTTTTTCTAGACTAACAAAAAAGATGTTTGAGAAGACCTATGACGGACGTATCGAGTATAAATCAAAAGAAAAAAACGAGTTGATTTGAATCCGACGAAAAAAGAAAACAAATAATGTAAAATGTGACAAATGAACTACTCCCTCCGTCCCGTTTTAAATCGTATGTTTTGATTTTTGGGCATATTTAAGAAAGAGAAAATAGAGTTGATTTTTCAAAATTGCCATTACTTTTTAAGAGGGGTGACGATGAATGAGAAGATAAGGTGGAGAAGAGTGACTTATTTTAGAGGTAGTTTAGGTATTTTACTTTACTTTAAAAGTTTACGATAACAAGTAACAGATAACTTATTTTGGGACGGAGAAAAAAGATAAACATGCAATTTAAAATGGGACAGAGTGAGTAGTTTTTTAAAATTTATTTTCAATTAATTTTAGCTCACTTCAATAAAATTCAATACATTTTAACTCGATTCACCTCAGCTTCGTTAAAATAAATCAACCGTGTTTCACCAAATGTTTATAATAATTTTATACCTCTTTGAATTTCACACATAAAACTCGAATGTTTCGTATTGCTCGCATCATAACAGAATTTTGTCACAAATAACACACACAGTTTTTTTGTAAGTAGTGTGCAAAAAATGAACAACTTTTTAGTACACTCCATAAAAGAGTGTCAAAGTAGTATTTGACAAAACTTGTTCATTTGGTTTTCTTGTTGGAGACAAAACTTTAATCCTAAAACAAATTCCCACCCAAGAAAACGAAAAGACGCGCAGAAAAATGCAGGGACTACGAAGCGACGCAGACAGACGGCAAACCAAATGTTTTATACCTTTGTCCAACTCCCCAACAATTCACACTTTCTTCTTCTTCAACTCTCTCTTCTTCAGTCTTCACTCCGTCGGCAGTCCACCTTCTCCGCCGTGCTCCGCCATCGACCGCCGAACGGTATCATCTCATGTCGAAGTTCACTTGGAGGATCGAAAACTTCTCTAAATTGGACGCTAAAAAGCTCTTCTCTGTGGCTTTTATCGTGAATGACTACCAATGGTATGACCCATTGTGCCATATTTCTCATGTTCCTCATGTTTCTTTATATGGTCCAAAACCATCTTTTTTTTTATGCAGGAGGCTGAGTCTTTACCCCAAAGGGAACAATGCCGACCGCCATTTGTCACTGTACCTCGGCGTGGTTCACTCCTCTGCTCTACCCGATGACTGGAGTATAAAAGCAAAGTTCAGCCTGGCTCTCATTAACCAGATAGACAGAAACAAAACCATCAAGAAAGGTATTTTTTTCCTGCAATGACTTTTTGTGTTCTGTGTTTCTAGTTATGTAACACAAACCCAAAGTAAAATGGCTACCACTTGAAGCAGAAGCTAAATTCTTAAAAGTAACACGCACCCAAACACCCTTTCAGGGTTAGAGTGCATGTTCTTTGATCTATCGCGTGATTTTGGGGTCTTAAATTCCATATTGCGTGTTGTCTTGTTGAGGAGAAGGCTAGCAATATTGGAGCTGAAGATTTGGAGGTGGATTGTGCAAACCAAAAGGTAGAACATGGATTGAAGTCAAAGTGGGCTGCTATGAGACATCTCTTTGCATGAGGAAGAAAAATGGGATTGCCAATCACACCCAATTTCCTTGCATTGTTTTGCAAAATATCATCCTTTTTTACATTATTATTACTCTTTTATCTTGACTTTATCTAATTGGCAGACAATTTGTGAAGTGCTGATGTTTTTTTGGGGGGGTATGATGTCCCAATAAAGTAATTTTATTAGTCTTACTTGCAAGCCATTGACAAAGTGTGCTTTCTTAATCCTATATGGCTTTTTGTTCTTATTTTTTTTCTTTATCTTCTCTTTGAATGTATTCAAAGAATTTAGATTCATGTGCTGCTCATGGTCTAGTGGACTCTATGTACTTTCAGGCAGAATAAGTTCTTGATTCTTTATTCCGGAAACAAAAGGTATTAGGCTTTCCAATGTATTTTTAGAGCAGTGGTAATGGGCTTCACGCCCAACCACGTAATACTAGTTTTGACGCCTAGGGGCGTTACCCTCCCTCCGTTATGGCCCGTTAAAATTTTGGCATCAAATTTTTGACGCAATTTGAAGGCGTTAAAACGCCTTCTCTCTTCCTTTTCCCCCTCTTTTTTCTTTTTTCTTCTCTATAAATTAAATTAATTTCTTTAAATTCAACAAAAATACAAATCTCTCTTTATCTATCTTTTTTTAAAAAAAATTATTATTCAAGTATTTTATTTATTTTTTCATTAATGTAATTTTTTTATTTAATGAATGTTATTTTTTTATTTAATGAATGTAATTTTTTATGATGAATGTAATTTTTTAATCAACTATTCTCGTTTCAATTCTTTTAAATAGTTAAATATTTAAATTTTGTTAATTTAATTTTAGAAGATGTGTATTTAAAATGGAAAAAAATGAAGGTTTGAAGCCCCAGTTTGAAGCCTCGGGGCTTCAAACCCATTTCCGCTGAAACTGTGATGTAAGTTAAAGCTATCGTGATATAGAGAGAAGTTTTGAAGCACCGGGGCTTCACGAGTATTTCCAGTGCTCTTAAGTGTGTTTTTCCATGCCTCCGTTTTGACTAAATTATTTACAAAATTATCTCTAGTCTTTTATTAATATACACGAATGAGTTTTTACTAATTTAAGTCACTTTACATGCTCCATTAGTGGTGGGCAAACAGGTCATGGAACCGCGGGTCAGAACCGAAGCGAACGGTTCAAAGCGAGTTAGGTCTGGGTCCCAAATTTTATCTTAAAAAACAAGACGGGCTGGGGCGAATACTTTAGCAAAACAAGTTGGGCCAGTTCCTAATATTTAGAAACAAGTATACCCGGACCGACCCGCTTCTTATTATTTAATAGAATTATAAATATACAATATACGAAGTATTAAACAAATTAAAGTATACTCAATATTACGGAGTATAATTTAGGATTTTCATCAAATTGTTAATATATAGTAAATTTTATATGCTATATTCAATATTCAATTAATAAAATTATATTTATAACATAATTAGTAAACGTACTTTTAGTCGTTAATCACATTTTTTCTTATACGTTTTAAAACTTAAATTGGTGAAAGTCCCCTGTTGGTTGATTATTATAATTTATTTTTATTTCGATTATGAAAAGCATGGATTAGCTTCAAAAAGTTCATTATTTTATTGTCTCATATATGTTGTTTATTTGTTTTTGGTATATTTTAAATTCTTATTTTAGTAAAAAAACTCACGGGCCTACGGACCCGCAAAATTGAACCGTTTGAAACGAGCTGACTCAGGGTCGGTTGCACATATTTTTTTCAACAACCCAACCTGTCTCGGCCCGTTTAATTTAAAAACAAGTCGAGGTTGGGTCCTACGAAAAGGGGCAATATACAGCCCGTGCCCACCCCTATGCTCCATACAGTATTTCGAGATTCAATTTACTCCGTATAAGTTTAAAGAGTTAAGTGCACCGTTTACCCCTGAATTCTTTGAAAATTGCATGGTTTACCCCCGAACATTAAAAAGTGCACCAAATACCCCTGAATTCTTCAGAAATTGCACTGTTTACCCCTGAACAATAAAAATTGCACCAAATACTCCTGAACTTTTTGAAAATTGTATTGTTTACTCCTGAACATTTAAATAAAGACGACAATTTTGGATAAAGGCACTTTGAAAATTTCATAAGGGCCAGATGAATCATATTCGCAATTCTTGTGCATGGAAGCAACGCACTCCCTATCTAATAGTTTAGGACCAACGATGCAACGTTTTAATTTGTTCAAGGGTATTTGGTGCATTGTTAGTGTGTAGGAGTAAATCGTGCAATTTTTGAAGAGTTCGAGGGTAATCGGTGCACTTTTTAAAATTCAGGGGTAAAACATGCAATTTTTAAAGAGTACTCTAAGTTTAAAACTATGCTAGAGAAACACCTTTTAAGCTATGTGAGTAAGCTTTCTGGGACTTTTTGCATTATGGAAAATGCTTGGTTCACAAATATAATGGTCACAAACATCACAAATTTACTAATTGTAAACTTCAATGGAAAAAATTAAATGGTCTAAAATGATTTTAAAATGAAATTTTAAACCACAAATAGTAAATTTGTGAAGTTTGTGAATATTTTGTTTGTGAACCTAGCATTGCTCTTGCATTACACCCTTTTAAGCTGTGAAACTCTTGATGAGGTCATTGTCACATTACGAATAACTCCTTTTCGTGACCAAATGACTACACCAAATCTACATTAAATAGCATTTTGTACTCCATTTTTATTTGTTTTTAAGATACTTATACACCAAAATTTGTACTCACTTTCATTTTGTGTCAGAGTGTGATGATTAGTGTAATAAAATATTTTGATGGCACTAACATATTGTGCTAATATGAAACATCGAAATGTTGGTACGCATCATACACTTTGTGATACACTCCTTGTGATACATTCCCAATATGAAGAACAAATTGAATCAAAATTATATTTGCCCTCTTGGGTAAATGAATAATGGATTAATGATGAACGCCACTTTTTTGTTGCCCCAATGTTAATGGGACAAAGACAACGAAATGTATGGGGAAGTGGCGTCGAAGGAAACAGGGCAAGATAAGTTAGGCGAAAGACGAAGGGTCATGAAGAACTCTTTCACAGGTTTCTTCACATTTCCTTCTTCAGAGACTAATAAGCAAAAGTGCAAAAGCAAAAGGATAATCTGAGATGCCGAAATTCACATGGAGGATTGAAAATTTCTCCCAATTGGGTGCCCAAAAGCTCGACTCTGTCACCTTTGTTGTCAACGAGAACAAATGGTGTGCCCCCCCCCCCCAACCGATTCCCACGTTAATTATTTAGCAGATTACTATGTTTGTGTAAATATGTTTTGCCTTTTCTGATGATTCGGAACAAAGTACAGTATATCTATTGTTAACCAGATTGACCCCAACAAAACCATCAAGAAAGGTACTTCTCTACACATAGCTAGTAGTAGTACAATAACATTCACAACTTTCCCGTACCGTTATTTGTTGGATACTCTTCATTAATTCAATGGGGAACTTGTGATCATACATTTCAGATCACTGCCTACTCATTATCACTCTGTGTTTAAGTTTTCTTTATCGGTTGTACATCTGCATATTACGCAGAATGCGAGTGCTATTTCGATACTCTGGTATACAGTAAGGGCTGGCAATTTATCGAGCTTCGTAAATTTAATGATAGAAGTGGAGGTTATCTTGTAGAAGACACATGTCTGGTTGAAGCTGCATTTGATGTTTCTCCATCGGATAACGTAAGCTTAGTCTTGCATGCCTATATATGGCCTGGGTTAATTTCTGATATGCCAACTATATTCATAACATTCTGCGTGCCTGTGACAAACAGGATTCGGATTCCCCGGTGGCAATTGATCCTGTGTACATTGAGGCTCAATCATTTCTTGAGTCACTGCCCAAGGCACCATCCACATGTGGAAGACCTCTGTTAGAAGGATATGCGAAAGAAATCTTCGACAAACTGATATCATACCGTTTGGATGATTTAGCTGATCCCAAGAACGAATCGGCAATGATGGAGTTCATTTCTGTACTTGCCAACAACATATCCGTGTTTAGTGATGTGCAGGCCAGAGAAATCGTGAACTTGAAAGCCACTTTTCCTCAAACAATGCAAGAATGGAGAGACTCGATGAGTCAAGCAAAGGGCACTAGCGAGCCTTCCTGGTCTCTTTTCGAGGAGACCAAAAGTGTGCTTCAAGATTTGGTGAAAACAGAAGAGGGAATAAAGACCAAACTGGAGGAGCTGCACAAGAAAGAAACAGAATTGGAAGCAGAGTTGGAGGCCATTGAAGGCAAGAGTCAGATGCTCAAAGAGGAACGGAGACGAGTGTCAAAGCAGATGAAGATACTTTGTGGTCTTGTTGAGGAGATGGCTAGTGTTGGGGAAGCACGGAACAAAACACAACGGAAGCGTATAAAATCTTTTCCCCAAATTAATGAGATGAACAACAAAGCACAATATACTCCAAAAATCAGCACCACCACCACAAATAGATAGCAACGGAAATAAGATAAAGAACACACGATTTACGTGGAAACCCCAAATCGGGGAGAAAACCACGGCCGCTCAACAACGGCACCCAAACTTCCACTAATCACCAAGAACCAAGTGGGTACAACAAGTTCTCCTCTCTAGTAAACACTAGAGGCATACACAATCATCAAGGAGCAACCTTGGAACAACAACAATCAACAATTCAACATAAAATGGAGTAAAAACTCCCAAAAACGCAGGTCTGAAAATGTAGCTAGAAAACAGCCTTCCGGGCATCAAAATGAGAATCTGACCGTTGGATTTGAAGAGGAGTATGTGAGGAACAACATACTAAAATTTGAGCACGATCCGACTTTGTTTGGCCTTCGATCCGGAGGTGAAAAGTTGCTGCTGTAGAGAGTGGCGGAAATCTTCTTTTTCTTCCTCTTTCCTGCGTTTAGCTACTGCCAGCCCTCACTTCTTCCTTTTTTTTCTCCCTTATCTTCTCTCTTTTTTCTTTAGTTAGTAGCCACACACAACACAAGAGAATGGGCCACTAAAAAAAAACAATTAGGCTAAAACTTTACACACAAAAATAAGCCCAAATATAAGAGAGAGATTTAAAGTGTTGTCCAATTAAAATTGGACACTTCCTCCATGTAGGAGGGATATTTCCCAACAGCTAGCAGTATTGGAGCTCTAGATTATGATGTGGATTGTGCAAAGTACCTACAATTTGAGCAGAGATTGAAGCCAAAGTGGGCTGCTATGAGACATCTCTTTGCCTGAGGAAGAAATATGGGGTTGCCAATCACACCCAATTTCCCTACATTTTTTTGTTGCAATATATCTTTCATCCTCTTTGACAATATTATTATTACTACTCTTTTAACTTGGCTTTACCTAATCTGAAGGCAATTTGTGAAATGCTGATGTTTTTTTTTGGGAGGATGATGTCCAAAGAGCTTATTATTCTTTGTCATTATAGGTCTCTCATTACGAATGAGGCCCAACTTGTGGGCATTCAATCCCCTCCCTTTCATCTCTTCCCTCTCTTTTATTATTAGAGCATGTCGATAACTTTTGTTTATATGTTTTTATTGATAATTTGATGAAATAAAATATTACCTGGAGTAGTATTTTTGTAATTTTTTGGTCGGAGAATGACATTCATTGTTAGAGAGTTAGGGTGCACTCTATGGGAGAGAGTCAATGCATTTGGTACAAAATGAGTCTAAGTGGTACAGTGGTTTAGAGAGTATCATTCCTAGTACTTCGGTACTGAAAATCAACGGAACCATACACTTCTACTCGTATTTTTTAAGGGTAATGTTATTGAGTACTCTGTAATAAATTAGGTATGCGACAAAAAAGTTCATTAAATTAATAATTACATGCTCCCAATATATATTTATATATAAACACACACAAACACAACCTATATTTTTTCTACCCATTTTTTAATCTACACTCTCAAAAATCAAGCTTTTACTCGGTATGTTTTTTTCTAGTATAGTTATTTTTAAGTGTTTTTGTTTTCGATTGGCATTTTATGTGCATCCTCATTTAAAGTAAGAAAAGTATGAAATTTATGAAATCTGATGTGACGCAGATGTGGAGTAGAGAAATGATGCGGTAAAGAAAGTATATATGGTATGTATACCCTCACCTTTATAGAGCAAATTTTAATCTAAATTACATAGTTTTATCATAGTCTTTTTTTGAAACGTCAAAGCTAAACATTAAAGTTGTTGTCAAACATGCTCTACGACAACATAAAATTTCAAAACCGCAAACATATAATAATTATTTGAGTTTATATGAGATTGAGTCATGTTAAACTTGAAAGTACTCTCTTACATATTATTTTATACTAAAAACAAAAAAACAAGTATTTGACGGATGTGCAACTACAACAACAATAACAACAATCCAGTTGAATTCCACTACAGTAGGATCTGGAGAGGGTGTGTGTACGCAGACCTTGCCCTTACTCGGATGTGCAACTAAAATAAAGAATATACGAAATTATATGTTATTGCTAAGTGAATTTTCATCGGGAGTAAAAGAAATATCATACATCAAGATGTATGGTATACCTGATCATATGTGTAGGAAAGTTATGGAAAAGATAAAAGAAATCACACTAAATAAGAATAAAACATAGAAAATGTAACAATGTATATATATATATATATATATATATATATTTGAATATTTTTTTGGTAATGTATATGATCATGATTGACACAATGTATGCATTTTAAGATTTTTAACTTTATTTTAAGAATAAAAAGATGAAATTTCTATTTTAGTACACCCTCGTCCCTGAAAACCTTTCTCATTTTCTGTTTTCATTCATCTTAAAAAAATCTCATTTCTATTAAAAAGTCACTTTTACCCCTATAAATTTTTAACATATATATATCACATCACATCTATTCACTATTAACATATCCATCAAATCACAATTCGACTCATCATATCTAAGAACACTTTTGGAAACTTACATCAAAATACATTTCTGTTAGCTGTCTTGAAAATCACAATATCCTGTATTTTTAGTGACATATTTTAATGGTTTAGTTCTACTACTCCGTACTACTGTAATAGGTATCGGGAAATGGCGTTGTCCAAAACAGCACTTAGAAGAAAGATGAAGGGTCCTGCTGCCTGATTAGAGTATATATACATACATACATGCATGAAGAACTCATCACTTCTTCATAAGTTTCTTCACTTCTTCTAGTTCCGCTGTCACTGCGCTTCTTCCCTGGCTAGTCTGTCCACGCCGCTGCTTCCTTGTTTCTCTCCGCACGGTATGAGCCACAAGTCCCAACAGTAGTATTGTTCTTTTGTCTATTAAACTGACTCTTTTTCCATTTGTCCATTTCATAACACAGCTTATACTAGATTTATGGTACTTTCACAATGCACATACCACTGAAACCTAGGAAAATGTGTTCTTTCATAATTGTTTTTGTTTTGATTGTTTTTTAATTCTTTCATTAATTGGTGCTGTGAGTGAAGGCATTTACCAGAGCGCCCGACTGTAAGCAAAAGCAAATGATAATCTGAGATGTCGAAATTCACATGGAGGATTGAAAACTACTCGCAATTGGATGCCAAATATCTCGTTTTTGTTGTCAATGGTAACAAGTGGTATGCCCCCAACCGAGCCTGACATCAATAAAAATTAGCCGATTAGGCATCATGTTATTCACTTTGTCTACATAAGTTTTCCTTTTTTGATGATTCTGCAGGATGTTGCGTCTTTATAAAAAGGACGCGATCTAGATCAACATTTGTCTCTGTACCTTCGTGTGGCCGATTCATATAACTTACAGGCAGAATGGGGAATGCCCACAAAGTTCACCATATCTATTATTAACCAGATACACCCCAACAAAACCATCAAGATGGGTACTTCCTTGGAACTACTAGTATAGTACAATGACATTCACATTTTGTGCTCTGTCAAGGAACCAACAAGACACTTGGGCTGAACCACATTAAAAGATTGAATCCAATCCAGTTATCCTTACCCCATCCTAAATTCTATCATGGTATCAGAGCCAATTTTAGCCCACCTCGTTTGTCAAGGTGCCCGTCTAGACGTCCATTCCTAGCGGCCCGTTTGTCTTTAGCCTAGTTGTCCGTATGGAGGTTGTACCCAACGGCCTGTGGCCTGTTTAACACGATTGCTCGTCTGGAAGTCCATACCCAGCGGTTCGTGGTCCTTTAGGTGTTGGCGCTCAAAAAAACAAAAAAAAAAAGGTCAAGGGAATGGGAGTTCATTTGCAAGTGGTCAACCGGTTAGATTCAAAATGGCCCGGTTGTCCACTTGAGGGGGAGTGTTAGAGTACATCCCACATCGGAAATTCAAGAGTAAAATAATCGGTATATAAGCTCTAGAGTTGAACTAGCTAATCGATTGGATTCAATCTTTTAATGTGGTTCAACCCAAGTGTCTTATTGCCCCAATCCAGTTGTCCATACTCATCCTAAATTCTTATCATGCTCCTTTATTTGTCACGGGCAACGCTTCCTTTATGCACCTCATTTTATTTTGGGATCTTAACTTTTATTCAGACAATTGCATAGTCAATACCACTGAAAATGGTCTGGTTTTATATCAGCATCTACATTTGCATATGATGCAGAATGTGAACAGACTTTCGATTCTCAAGAATGTAGTTGGGGCTGGTCAAGATTTATCGAGCTTAGTAGATTTCATGATGAAAGCGGAGGGTATCTTGTTAATGACACATGCTTGATTGAAACTGAAGTTTATGTTTCTTCAGCTTCCTCGGATAAAGTAAGTTTCATCTTGCATGTCAATGGCCTAGGTTGTTTTATGAGAGCAATGGCAATGGCGTGCCATTTTAATTGGCACGCTGCCACGTATGGATATGCCTCGCCCACATCAGATATGCCTTGCGTGGTTTGAGCGTTCCTCCATGGGAAGTGAGGCAGACTCAAGGCTGCCACGCTTCTTTTTTTAGTTTTTTAAATTAGATTAAAAATTTAAAAAATGACTGTGTAATTTCTAATTGGTTTAATTTTGCCACATCAACGTGTGGCATTCTAATTCTTTATTTGCCACTGTGAATGCTCTGATATATCTTAACAAACTCTTTAAAACATTCTGTCTAAAACATCAGGATTCGAATTCTTCGGTTGCTATTGGTCTTGTGGAACCTGTGTTCATCGCTGCTCAATCATTTCTTGAATCATTGCCCAAGGCACCATCCAGCTCGGCGTCTAATTCTCCAACTTGTGGAATGCCTTTGTTTAAAGGACACACAACTTTTGCGAAAGAAATCCTCACCATGCTAATATCATACCGTTTGGATGACTTTGCCGATCCCAAGAATGAGTCGGCAATGATGGATCTCATTTCTTTGCTTGCCAACAACATATCTGCGTTTAGTGAAGTGCAGGCCAAAGAAATTCTGAACTTGAAAGCTACTTTTCCTCGAATATTGAAAGATTGGAGATGCTCGAGTCAAGTCAAGGGCACTTTTGAGGAGAGTAAAAGTGTGCTTCAAGATTTAGTGAAAACAGAAGAGGGAATAAAGACAGAACTGGAGGAGCTAAACAAGAAAGAAACAGAATTGGAAGCGGAGTTGAAAGTCATCGAAAGCAAGAGGCAGATGCTCAAAGAGGAAAAAGAAAGAGTGTCAAAGCAGATGAAGATAGTTTGTTGTCTTGTTGAGGAGAAGGCTAGCAATATCGGAGCTCAATATTTGAAGGTGGACTGTGCAAAGTACCAATGGCTGGAGCAGAGATTGAAGTCAAAGTGGGCTTTAATGAGACATCTCTTTGCCTGATAATGAAAAGTGGGATTTTCAATCACACACAATTTCCCTACATTGTTTTGCAATATGTCATCCTTTTTGACAATATTATTACTACTCTTATAACTTGACTTTACCTAATCTGAAGGAAATATGTGAAATGCTGATATGGTTTTTCTTGGGAGGATGATGTTCCAAGAGCTTACTATTTTTTGTGTCATTGTAGCTGTCTCTCTAATTGCGAATGAGGCCCAACTAGTGGACATTGATAGAATCCCCTCGTTTCCATCTAGTAATATATTGTTAGCAACTCTCTTTGCTCTATTACCAATTACTCCGTATGGTGTTTTGGGTTACACAAACTGCCTGTAAGGCCGTGTGTTATGCAGCGTCAGGGAGGGCGTCACTACCTCCCTCACGCCCCTTCACACAACACATGCCGCGCCGGCTGGGGCATTGCCCCCTCTTCCGTCGCCCTCTTCACGGGCGTTGCCCCCCTTTCCTCTTTTTTTTTATTTATTTCAACCAATCAAAATTTAACACACATCATCACATCTCTTCACACTCACCATAACATACATTTTCACCCCATCAAGCCCACGTCAAGTCCTTCCATAACACATAGCATAATCCTTCATTTGAGTAGACGCATGATTCTAAGTGGCTTAGCCAAGCTGGTGTGAAAGCCTTTGAGCACCACCCCTCATAGGCATGAGTTTGCTTCAGTAAATTGGTCAAGTGACTGACCAAAAATTTTCATTTCTCTCGTCCACCTCATATCCCTTTCCCTCCCACCACACCTCACCCCCTACCGCCAACCATCCCACCCTCACCCCCACACCACCTGCCCCAACCTCCCTATCCCTACCCATCGTCCTTCTTCAATAGCCACCCGCCTATGGGGTAGGAGTGGAGGTTGAAGGTAGAAATCATCAATTTTTTTATTAGAGTTTGGAGGTGCTCCAAAAATGCAGTAGCACTGCTAGTATCACCGTTGCTCAAAGTGAACTGAACCCCACTCATAAACAATATATAAAATCAATTCTGTCTGTTTAGATTAGGTAAAAAGATTAAATATAAGTGTAAAACATTGAAAATATACCAAAATATGACTTTCATGTTTTTATTCCTGAAATAAGAGTTAAAATGCACTTAGATTATCAAACATGGTCCTGTACATTATCAAAAAATATAATATTGTGCACATGTACAATGACACATTACCACTACATGACCACAGTGCAAAATCTTATTTCAAGAATAAAAACATGAAACTTTTATTTTTGTACTTTATTCTATTTTTAGTCATAATCAAAGTGATTTCTATTCTATAGATTATTAGTCTAAAGTTCAACCCGTTAAAAGTTTGTTTTTTTTAACTTATTATTTTTATTAAAATCAGATTAGACTAGATCAAAAACAATTTTAAATATAATTATACTTATAGATATACAAAGAGGCAAAGTAGTTTAAGAGAAAAAAGGATTGGCAACCTTCTCCAACATTATTTTTATTACGTATTTGTATACATTCGATTTGAGATTTTTAGGTGTGAGAATTACCTCATACCGATTCTAAATACCGGACCCATCATTCGATTCTGTACGATACAGTTATTTTTTGCTTTTTTATGGGTTTAGTATCTTTCAATTCCCTAATCTCAATTTTTTTTGGGGAAATTTCGGTGAACCATGCTATACTTATACAAAAAATTATATTTCCTCCGTCTCTGAGTGTTTGTCCACTTTCATTTTTGCACACCATCCAATGCATTTTTTTAATTCATTTTATCTTGTAATTTGTATATTAAAAAATTATAAAAATTATATATTAATAATCTATATGTTAAGACGAATCAAACAAGATGAGACATGACTATTTTTAGGCATACACATTGAGAGAATTTGATAAGTCAAAGTGCTTAGATGAGCAGTTCCAAAAGTCAAAAATGGACAAACACTCAGGGACGGACCAAGTACTTTATTTGTACACCACAGTTATACACAAATATTTAATAGTTTATACCGACACAAGTGTTGGTGCGTTGACAAAAATTTACACGCACACAAATGTTGGTACATTAATAAAAATTAGTTTTAGGTCGAAGTAAAATGTTACTCCGGGGTAGTTCAAACATGTGGTGTAGGGTACAAATGGGAAATAGCTTTATCCAATTTCGGTATCCCATCCCTACTACATCTGCATTTAGATTAGAAAGATTTGGCGATGAGATTCTCAGCTTACGTCCTTTTTTCATCGTTTCTTTCCCTTCTTCGCAGGCTTGAGTAAACCTGGTTTTGGTTCCGGTCCAGGTTTTTTGAAACTATTTTTTTCAGTCCTCTGGCATTTTAGCCTTTCCATCTTCCACTTAAATGGCTTTATCGATTGATTTTCTGGAAGTTTATGCGGGATGTTAACTAGAATTGTGGAACTTGTCTTCTTCTTGTTAAAATTTCACGCCTTTTGACCTTTGATAATATCTATGTATGAATGTTTGTGTGAAAATTGGGTGTTCGATGTTTTGTTTCAAAATCTTTTTTTTTTGGTGAAAAATGAATAAAGTAAATGTTTTGAGCTGGGGTTCGGATCTTCTACTCAGAACCCTCTACCAAAAAAATGTCTTTGGCATTATCATTGTTATCGTTATGATTGGTTGTTTTGTTTCAATTTTGGTTATTTCAGGGCTAGAGAGAGTAAGCAGAATCAAAGGATAATTGGAGATGTCGAAATTTACTTGGACGATCGACAATTTCTCAAAATTGAATGGCGAAAAGCAATACTCTAAAACATTTGATGCAAATGGGAACAAATGGTAGGGTAACATAATAGCTCAGTTGGTCAATAACTACAAGGGAGTCTAAGAGATGTTATTATCCGATTTAACGAATTATTTATATGTGTTAAGATGGATTCACCCTTTTGCTAATGCAGGAGGGTGCTCATTTTTCCAAAAGGTAACAGCACAGATCATTTGTCTGTGTACCTTGATGTGGCTAATTCGGATATCTTACCCGAAGATTGGGAGATACCACTAAGTTGCAGGATATTTCTTGTTAACCAGATACACTGCAACAAAAGCATCAATAAAGGTACTTCTACAGAACTAGTTCAATAATGATATTCCTATTTTGTGCTCATCTATTTGTTTGTTGTTTGTAATTCAAACAAGGTTTTGTTGTTTGGTTAACATTCTACTTCTGCTGCATCATGCAGAGACCATGCACACTTTCAATTCTCACGAAAGTGATTGGGGCTTCACACGTTTTATTCCACTTAATAAACTTCATAATAAAAGTGGAGGTTATATTGTTAATGACACGTGTGTGATTGAAGTTGAAGTTTATGGTTATTATACAGGACCTATAGATAAAGTAAGTTTGATATCACATGACATTGGCCTTGTTGGTTTTCTGGTTTGTTTATGATCTAAAAAATAATCATTCTGTGTGTGATCATCAGGATTCAGATTCTTCAGTTGCTATTGATCCAGTGGAACCTGTGTACATCCAGGCTCAATCACTTTTAGACTCACTGCCCAAGCCACCATCCTTGGGCTTTGGGGTGTGATGGAATAAATCAAAATGGATCTCTAAACTGTCTGCGCTTCTTTAATTAATGAAGTAGCAGTTAGTCAAGCAATGCAACTTTCGACGTTGAGCCGGGGGTCTCTTTGGAAACAGCCTCTCTACTTTCGAGTAGAGGCAAGGTCTGCGTACACACACCCTCCCCAGACCCTACTCTTGTGGGATTTAACTGGGTTGTTGTTGTTGTTGTTGTTGCCCAAGCCACCATCCTGCACTGCATCTAATCCCGCATTTGAAATGCCCGTGCTCAAAGGACAAGGGACCTCTGCGAAAGAAATCTTTGACAAACTAATATCGCTCCGTTTGGATAATTTCGCTGACCCCGAGCATGAAACTGCAATGATGGATTTCCTGTCTAAACTGACCGACCAACTTCATATGTTTAGCGATGGACAGGCCAAAGAAATCATAAAATTGAAAGCTACTTTTCCTCAGATAATGCAGGAATGGAGGGACTCCGTTCAAGTCAAGGACACTAGCGCGCATCCCTGGTCTCCTCATGAGAAGACCAAAAGTTTGCTCCAAGATTTGGTGAAAACAGAGGAGGGATTAAAGAGGAAAGCGGAGGATTTGAAAAACAAAGAAAAGGAGTTGGAAGCTCAGTTGCAGGAAATCAAAAGCAATAGCCGACAAGTACAGGAGGAAAGAGAGGAAGTTTCAAAGCAGACAAAGATAGTTTGCTCTCTCGCTAAGGAGCAGGCTAGCAAAGTTGGGGCAAAAGAGGCAGAGGTGGATGGCGCCAACGAATCGCATCGCGTATATTCACCTGCCTTTCCTTAACTTTTCGAACACGCTTCGAATGGCTAAGTGATAACTTCTTTCTGTCTTTCACTGTAGAGGTGGTTTTCCCCTTAAACAGCTCTTTCACACTGTCCAACAAGAACTCTGCATCCGTTGGCTCAACATCATTAACTAGAAGCTGCAATTGGAACAAAACATTATTAATAAACACCATTCAGTACAAATAAACAACAAAAAAAACGAACACTAAACATCTAACCTTCCCAGATTTGAAAAGTGCGTCGGATACTTTCGAAGAGTTAAACTTCGCGCAGACCTTCCATCGCAGACACCGGGGTATCGAATTCACC